AACGGGCTCTATGTTTTCATTCAAGATTCCAATTGTTGACAGATACTGCGACGATGACCAAGAAATGTTTTTATCTCTGTCATAGATTTCATTCATCAATACGTTGTCGTGGTTGGGGAGTTTCTCAACGAATCTCTTTTGGATGTTTAGGGCGTATAGACAGATTGGTTCTATTCCTGAATTGCTATATATGTAAGTATTGGATAACATTTTCGTGGGATTTTTATATTTCTTATTTATGCATTTCCGTAGGATTTTTCGTTCGAAGATCTCCAATTCCTTCATGACCGATGGCGAGATGGAAAACCAAATTGGAAATCCATACAGCAGAATTGGACGAATGGCTGCCTTGTATAGTAGGAGTTTAGTCTTTTGTGGTAAGTACTTATTGTTAAATAAAAATGAAAATTGTCCAACTACTTTATTCGCTCTTTCTATGGTAGATCGAACGTGTGAATTAAATTTAAGCAGCATATTAAATGTTACTCCTAGGTACTGCATGTTTGCTTTAAAAGGGATTTCCACACCTTCTAACGCCGTTCGTAGCAGCTTACTTTCCGGTACCACATGTTTTGGACATTTTCCCGATGCGTTCCTTATGCAGATAGCTTGAGACTTGGCAGCATTAATGCATATACCCCATTTTTTATAATATTGGTGTATTATAAATAAGTGCTCCTCTACGTGACGTAGTGCATACTCCGGTGAAGCATTATGTGCATAAATTAGACAATCGTCAGCATAGAGAATTGCTTTTGAATGAGATGTTGAGTGAGGAAAGTCATTTAGAAATGTGTTGAACAGAAAAGGTGCTAAGACACTCCCTTGAGGAACCCCACTGTTAACTGAACCTTGGATTGACTTGTCGTTTCTTATTTGTACAAAGAATTTACGATCGGAAAGGTAATTTTGTATTATTTTGATTAAAAATGGGTCCACACCCAGTTCAATGAGTTTATATACAATTGCTTTGTGGCACACGGAGTCAAAGGCTTTTTCTATGTCCAAGGATATGGCTACAGTACTGATACGGTTTTTCAAATTTGCTGTAGTGTCGTTGTGGAACTTTAAAAGCGCGTGCTGTGTTGAATGCTTTCGTTGGAAACCAAATTGAAAGTTAGATATATGATTTGTAATGAACTCATTTTCTATTTTTTCTTTTAGGACATGTTCAAAGATTTTACCGAGATTTGATAAGAGAGAGATCGGACGATAATCAGCAACACTTTCGCTATTGGCCTTTTTTTGGACTGGAACAATTTTTGCTAGCTTCCACATTTTGGGAAAGTAGCCATTATTGATGGAGTTATTACAAATGCATGTTATAATTCGCAGAGCAGTTTCAGGAAATTTGCGCATAACAAAATTTGAGATTCCATCAACTCCACTTGACTTTTTATTATTGGCCTTTTGCATAATTTCTTTGATTTTTTCAGGATTGGCGAAATGGTAATTATCTGTATTTGATATTGAGTTGAACTGTCTGTCGAATGAATATATACTTGGAGATATGGATGTGAGACAAGAAGAAATTCTAGATTGAAGAATATCCGTTGGAAGTCCAGTTATAGTTTCTTGAAAGGAAGACGAATAGTACTGGTGGAAGTGATTTGCAATTTCAGAATTATTAAAAACAGTGGTGTTATTGACCTGCAATTGCTGGCAGAACGGGGATTTCTTTCTGCCGCTGAACTTATAAATCTCTTTAAAAGCAGATGGGCCAGGTTTAATATCTTGAAGACGATTGTTGAATGTGTCAGCTTGTTCGATGCTTATTGATTCTTTTATTACTACTTTCAGAAGCTGAATTTGTTTGGATAATATGCGGTAATCGCTGCTCATTCTATTTCCTGTTCTATGAAATATCTTTTTTAATTCTTTCTGCCATTGATGTTTTACTTTGTAAAGCCGTTTGGATCTCTCAGAGAGAGGAAAGAGGCCGTTGTTGATTGTGATTATCTGTGAGTGGGCATCGTGGATTGAGTTGAAACAGCTGTTGAAGGAGTCAACTAATCCATCAATATCTTCATTACTAAGATTAGTTTCTGCTGAAGGTAAGATGTGTTGAGAAGCGTTTTCAAGATCCCTACGGAAGTTCTCCCAATTTGTATTTTTGTAGGAAATATATGAAGGAGGAGCATTTAAAATCAAGTCGGTACAATCCATTTTTATTGACATTTTTAACGGGAAATGGTCCGAAAATGATGGTAATGAGGAAATTACGAAGTTTGGTGTTATGTTGTCCAACAGATTGGAGCTGACAAGAAAATGATCCAAATAGGAAGGGCCATTCGGATATGACGGTGACACATCGCATACTCGAACTACGTCTAATATGTTTGTTTGCAGCCAAGCTTTCAAAGATTTTCCGTTGGTATTCTCTGCAGAGTCACCCCAGTCTGGGTTTCTTGAATTTAAATCCCCACCAAAAATAAAGCCGTCATAACTTGCACACACTTGCATGAGTTTATCTAGATCAGCTTCCAGCTGCTGAGCAGGATAATTGCAAGGGACGTATAATGATCCCAACGCGATTTTTTTTCGAACTGAATTTTGTAGACATTCAATTTGAATCATGCATGTTTTTACGCCGACATCACTGATAACAATTTTTGTGTGCAATATGGACTTTTTTATTAAAACGGCTACGCCAATGGGTGAGTTATCATTAACAATATCATATCCATCTATTCTAACTTTCCTGCTTCTTCGTAGGTGGCACTCTTGGATAAATCCCACATCGATGTTATTGGCCGAAAGCGTTCTTTGCAGGTCTATTTGTCTACTTTTGTCATTAATAGATCTAACATTGAATGTCAATAAATTAAACATTCTATGGATCATATTGCTGCTTGACTTTTTTAAGAATTCTAAGGAATTCTACTCTGGCTTTTGATTTTTCCATGTTTTTAAAATCTTTTAAAAATATAGAAATTTCTTGTTCAAGTGACATTTGTTCAGGTTCCAAAAAGTAATCAGCAAGTTTTAAGAAATCTGTCACTATTGGTGGTTTCTGAATGGTTGAGTTGTTTTCATTCTGTCTAAAATGACTAGCAAACGGTTTGTGTGGCGATGTATATGCCATACTAACGGCTTTAACATTTCTGATAGCTGTGGCTTTTTCTTCCTGCATTTTACTTATTTGAGTCTTTTTAGATGTAATATATTTTTTGTAAATTGGGCAACCCTTAAAATTCGCCGGGTGTCCAAAAGCTTGGCAATTTACGCAATATGGATCTGAAGATTCAGATCGTACTCTCTGGCAATTACCAGGCTCGTGGAGTTTGTCGCATTTAACGCATTTGAATTCAGAGTTGCAGTTACGCGAGATATGACCCCACCGCTGGCACCTGTGGCATTGGGTCTCGCTGTCTTTTCTGTTGGGTTTTTCCCAGTATACGTCCTGGTACCAAATGCTTTCAATGTGATTAACATCTCCAGGTTTCTTTCCTGGCAACAATGACACTAAGAATAAACCTGTGTCAACTCCCTTTTTAACCGAAAGGGGAGTGGTGAAGTTTGTGACTGATGCCACAGTGTTTGGGACAAGTAAGTCTAACTCGGCTTTAATTTCATTTCCGTCCTTGTAACAATAAAGGCCCCTCAAAATTAAGCCAACCTGTTTTAATTCCTTTGGAGTAAATGAATACGAGTGAATACCTTTCTCTCTCAAGAGGGACATCATTGAAGTGTGCACCTTGTGGTCAGCAAAGTACAACTTGCTTTTGTTTTTGTTGACATTTTTCACTTTAAACCCAGATTCTGGGACAGATTCTTTGAGAGTATCAACTAGTGTTTTAATGTTGACGTTAAATACAAAAATGGGGGGACACCATTTTGTTTTTGGTTGTGGCTGTGGTTTTCCTTTTGGCGGGTTTGGTTTGATTTGTGTTTCATTGACAGTAGAGGAACCTTGTATATTGACATCAGCTAATACACTAAGGATGCCAAATCTGTTTTGGTCTAGAGGTTCGTGGTTAGTCAATTTTTCTTTCAGTTCAGAAATGTCGATGTTTAATGGTGAAATCTCGTTGTCAATTCGCATTCGTTTGCGTTCTTTTGCATTAACTAGGTTTGTTGTTGTTTTACCTGGCTGTGCCAAAAAATCAGTGTTGTTGGAAGTTGACGCCACCTCTTCCACCACGTCAAACTCCATATCTGGTAAAGATGTAGGCATCATTCATGCACAGGAGATGCAATTCTGATGCCCTAATGTTGAAATTTCAAAAAAAAAAAAAATAATTTAATTTAAAATTTGATTTATTTTCCGCTTTAAAACAATGCGTCTGATTTGTTTAAGGGTTACCAGCTTTTTCTTGGTTGAAACAAATTTGCCGCAACTTTTAAATGTCATGGCGAATCTATGTTTTTCGCCTTAGATGCCAATTTTGACATTTGAGGGGACCACAAAAGTTGCTTTGTTGTAGCAATTCGCCGATGCGGTTACCTCTTAGATCTACCTTGGGAGGGTATATTAAGTTTGTCATTACAAACTTCATTTTAGACCCCATAAAGTATATATATATATTCTTAATCAGCATTTAATGTTGTGGAACAACCCCAAAATTGCATTCTTCTTTCGCGGGTTTTCCCCAATATAAGAATTTTGTTAAAAAATGAAAATAAACAAAAGCAACTGTTGCATATTTTCTAGTTTCTTTGAAGTTGAGCAACCTTTCTTATTGAACCATGGTTCTGCATGCATCAACGCTTAGAAAAATTTATGTGTCAAAAAATTTAAATTTTTTTGACAAAAATATGTAGATTTTTATATTATTTTTTTTTTTACGAGACAAATCGGGTATTGTTATGATATGTGTTGTGTTTTTCAACAATTTTTCATTTAAAATTTTCATTTAAAATTTTCATTTAAAATTTTCATTCCCAAGATGTGTTTGACAGTTCATTGTCCCAGCAGCTGTGTCGGGTAGCATATCTTTACGACTTCATTGTATGTTAGAACAAGACGACTATAGTTCTAGGTTAAACCTGTTAATCATTCTACGTACATTTACTAAACAAAAAGAAGAAGACTCTAAAAGGTTTATTTGTGATTTGATTTTGCAAATCATTTTAAACAAAGAAAAACAGACAAACAAATCGGAATTTATACAATAGAACAACAAAAATGCCATCCATTTACGCTGGTATACACTTGCCAAATAAACCCGATGAATTTCTAAAGATAGAACAAATTGATCTTGACCAAAATGTACTTCATCTCAAACAACAAATAGCCGAGAAGTGTCAATTTCAGGCGGAGAATCTTGAAGTCATTTGTGATGGCCTACAACTGACCGACGAGGAGAAACTAAGTGAAGCCCTTAAGCCGGGTGCCAACACCATACATACTGTGCATTGCTTCCAGAAGACCAAGAAATATACCCCTTATGTACCCTCTGAGAAACTCAAAGACGCTGTCGACACTGCCCAGTCATTGTTTTATACTATAGGTAATATACAGATCAACGTAAGCTGCAGGGTAAACATACTGCAGAAGATTTTAGCTGAATATCCAGAGTTTCGTAGAAACTCGGCTGCATTAGCCTTGATAAGGGATTCGGTGTTGTTCAACACTTTGCATCAGCCGGAGGTGATTAAGAAAATTGCTGAACACTATCCTATCATCATTGAGGCTGCACCGTTCATTGTGAGTACAGTGCGTAAAGAATTGGCCCGTAGCGGTTCCTCATCAAAGTTCTCGGAACCAGCAACAGATTCGACCAATTCTTCGGAAGAAGAAAATTCTGTGGGCAGTAATGAACGGGGCAGCCGTGATGATGAAGGCGGCAGCAGTGCACGTAGTCAATCGGAGACTGCTAGAATTCGTATGATAAGTCGCCATCAATTACAAGCTGCCTTGGCACAAATTGGTTTTGGCTCGGCAAATTCACTGTCGAACATTGCTCAGAGGAACAGTGAAACATCTGTGGCAGCATCGGCCTCAGAAACTACATCAACACCATTATCCAGCTCGGCTAGTGGTGAGCGTATTTCAGCCGATGAATTACAAAGAGCTTTGGATACATTAAATACCATGAACCAGCCAATGGATACAACAGAACAGCAAGCTGTCAACACGTCGGTAACAGATGATGGAGATATCCCATCGGCTCTAAGAACACATCCATACGCTGAACAGCTGAGGACAATGCAGCAAATGGGCTTTTTGAATCATGAAGAGAATTTGAATTTCTTAAATTTAGCCAATGGAAATATTGAACAGGCTGTAAATCTATTGATGGCTGCCATGATGTAGGGCTGCTAATACGACTGACATTTTTTATAAAAACTATGCGATCTATGTAAAATCGATTATGATGATTTTTTGAAGAAATAACTAATATATATATAAGAATTAATAATATAAAATTATATGTAGAGATCTTGTTATTAAGACATTCAATTGCTTAATGATTGCCTTTGGAACAAGAGGGGGCTTTGAAGACAATTTTATACAGATAATTCTTTTTCCATTTACTGCAAGAGAATAGACTCTCTTTCTATACATAGCAGCTTTAAACAGATGGATAAAATTTAATTTAAAGGCATTGTGAGGAGGAATCTCAGTTTTTATACAACTGAATCGTTAAATGTCTTTCGACAGGATATGGATATATAATTTCTCCTAGTTTTCTGTAAAAAATTCTATCTATTGGACGAGATTTCCTTTGGAATTTATTTGCAACTGTTAAAGGATGCAATAAAAATGGCTAATGTTTTGTTTCAATAATTTATTATCGGATTAATATAGGTATAATAACTACAGCTATAATTTATGTCAATAAGCTTTCATCAAGCCCAAGACCCATCACTCAGTGCGCTAAGACATTCATCGAACTAGGAAAAAGATTAAAGTACTTCGTTCGAAAAAATAATCAGATTTATTTGCGGCGATTGCCACCACCTCCAGCCAAAATCATTGCAATGCGAATGAAAATATTCAAGGCGTCCATGTAAATCGAAAGGCTCCTGGAAAGGTCAAAAATTATTGATTAACAAATTGATTCATAATGCACTTCTTTGGGGATATACATTTTATGACCAAAAAAAGTTTGTTCAAATACTTACGCATTTATGGGATCAAATGGCTGCATCGAGTATTGAGGATAAACCTCAGCTTTGCGTACAATACGCTGTGTATCATAAAGTAGGAAGCCGCTGAACAAAATTAAACCACCATACAAGGATAAGGAAGCCAAACCTGCAAGAAAGGGAAATTCAATAAATTCTACTCTCATTTTAAATATTTTTGTAATCACCTGCTCCCAAAGCTGTGGTTGGGGGCAACCAAATGCCAGCCAATGATGAAGCCATTACCAAACCAAGACCAATGGCAAGGGGGCCACCCATATACAAGAATTTATCACTGGGAGCACAAACAGCCACTGTGGATAGGCCACCAACAACACCACCGGTATAAATTGCCGCACGTGTTAGTAAAGGACCGCCCAAGAAGCACAACGGGGCAATAACTCCACCCAAAACAGCACAATGCAAAAGCCATGAGAACTGCTTGGGACCCAAACCTTCTTTGTATTGTATAGATTGGGTCATGGCCCCGGTACCAATTACCAAAGCAAATGTTGCCAATGTGGACTAAAATAATTTTCGGATGGACAACATAAAACACACATGGGGGGCATTTTACATTTTAAATTTACTTACCAACCAACCGCCACGAGTTGCCAAATCCAAAAGACGTGGCGAACGGAAAACAGCTGCTGCCGAAAGGGCGGTAAGAACGCAGGATGCTCCAAAGTAGCCATAAGTGGTGTGCAAACGATCTCTAACATATTGGGGCCAGAGGCTGGAAAGTAAAAACAGAAAATATACAATTAAACAAGTAAAAAAGCTGTAACTTCAGCCGGCCGAACTTTGAGTACCATCCACCATTTGGAACGAATTTAGCAGTTCTCAAAAACAATAAAAATACATAATAAATAAATAAAATAAAAAATCCGTTAAAAATTCTGTTAAAATCTTAAAAATACCGAATGTAGCCGTTATATTAGGGTCTATCCGATGACGTGGACCTGCATAGTCAACTTTTGTCATAAGCCATTACAATATTCATATGCGCCGCAAAAAAATCGGTGAATAACGTCGCTAAAATCATCAAAATACCGAATATAGGTACCGTAATATGGGGCTATACGAAGACGTGAACCTGCACAGACAGTTTTTGGTCATAAGCTGTAGTATCCTCTATGAACTTCAAATACAAAATTTGAAACATTTCCGGTGGAAAATGTCGTTTAAATCGTCAAAATACCGAATATCGGGAGGTACCGTTATATGGTGGCTATACCAAGACGTGGACCTGTACAGACCGTTTTCTGTCTTAGGCTGTAGTATCTATTACGAACTTCAAACACTAAATTTGAAACATTTGCGGTGAATAATGTCGCCTAAATCACCAAAATACCGAAAATAGGGAGGTACCATTATTTGGGGGCTATACTAAAACTTGGGCCTACATGACCCATTTTCAATACCAAAAGTCCTGCAGACATAATATGTATTTGAGTAAAATTTAATCAACCCACTTCATTTCCTTCGGAAGCTAGATTGATTTCCACAGACCAAATCATAGAATTTTATGCTGATCAAGAATATATATACCTTGTGGGGTCCAAAATTTCTAGGTGTTACAAACGGAATGACAAACTTAATATACCCTCCATAGTATGGTGGAGGGTATAAAAATATGTGTTGAAGCAGAATACGCAACTATAGATTTTATTTTGTCTTCATTTCTTCTTAAGGCTTCCTTTGGCCTGCCTTTTCCTCCATAAAAATCTTCCTGGGGGTTTCAGACCTTAGTATGACTGTAGAAGACACTCTTCAGACCCTCCTTTAAGATCGTCTATAAAGGTCTTCAAGTCGTCCATATAATCTACTGTCGGCTTTACTTTAAAGACTTTCAAAAACTGTCTACAAAGTCCTCTTTTGGACCGTCGAAAGCCTACAAATACTACAAAAATCTTACTTCAAATCGCCTCAAGATTTTCTTCAAGTTGTCTAGAATGACTCCCTGGCGTTCATCTTTTTTGAAGACTTCGTGGCTCTAATTTCGTATATAAACACGCCTCGGAATTTAGCTCGCTTATAAGGAACATAAGGATAATTCTGATATCACTGTTTTTTATACACTTACATCATGTTATTTTGAATACTCGACTCACTGCTTAAACCGAGTCCATAGTAACACAGGGCGCCCAAGCCAACGCCAGCTGCTCCTGCAGCAGCACCTTTGCCCAAGGAGTAGGCTGCAAAGATATCACATTATTTTACAGCCGCAATAATGGTTCAATTCTTACGTACCATTTGCCGAAGGCGGAGCCATCAAACGTTCCTTCAAAGTTGGTCCACGGCTTCGTACCTCACCGCGTACAATGTGATTTTCACGTGGACTACGGGCGTAGTTGCGCACAAGGACATTATTGTTGCTGGGTTTAATCAATCGAGGAGCCAACAGCACTTGCTTAGCAGAAGTCGAAATGTTGGTGGTCACCAAACGACCGGGTAATGATGATGCAAGTCGCAACAACATTGTGAAATTCAATTTCTAAAGAATATGTTATGTATTATTTATTAAAATGCTATATTAAAATATCGGCAGAATGAAATGGAATATTGAAATGGTATTTATTCACAACTTACATACTACGTTCAAATTTATTTTTATTTTGTATTGTTTCGCAGATGTTTCACACTAGAAATTTCTCAATTATCTGAGACTAGGGATATGTAAGTCGACGTTCGATTAATCGAATAATCGATTTTTAGTTCTCAACATTCTGAAGTGCCCCGTAAACGATCAAAATGTGATGTTAAGTGTCCCGCACACTATCAAAATGCATGACATGCAATTATGTGATGTTAAGTGCCCCGCACACGATCAAAATGCATGACATGCAATTATGTGGTGTATGTATGTATGTATGCGTCACACCTACGATGCATGAAGCAAAATCAAAAAATGTTAATTTTTCTCGTGCATGCTGCTCGATTTCGATGAGTGTGCGGTGGAGGGATCATGCATATTCTCATTTGCGACGTTTTTTTCTTTAAGTGAATGGGTGCATACAGATGTCGGATACTGATAAAAAAATGTTTATGATTTGTTGGAAGTTTACCGGTTGTTGCCAGCACTTTGGTATGTTAATTGTTAAAAATATAGCAATCGGGTTTTTAAAGAAAATCAATAAAAAGTATTGATGCCGAAATGCCGAAAAATTAATTAAAATTTATGACAACCCTTTTGCGACGAAACCTATCTTGTTATGTTTAAATAAAACCATTTTCTTACCTAAATTATTGACATATAAGAGTAGTTCCGTATTTTTCAAAAATAAAAAAAAAATCTTATGTTCGGCGTTCTGTTGCACGTATCAGCAGTTATTTATTCCACATCTCAGGCAGGCGATTTTTATATTTCTTTTGGAGGGTATATTAAGTTCGTCATTCCGTTTGTAACTCATCGAAATAATCATTTTATACCTAACAAAGTAAATATATTCTTGATCAGCGTAAAATTCTAAGACGATTTAGCCATGTCCGTCCGTCTGTTGTAATCACGCTACAGTCAAAACGAATTAAGATAGGGAGCTAAAATTTTGCACAGATCTGTCTTTTGTCTGCAGGCAGATCAAGTTCGAAGATGGGCTATATCGGTCCACGATATCGTTTAGTCTCCATATAACGGTGCCCCCCCGATATTTTGATGATTTTAGCCACATTTTTCAACGGAATTGTCTGAAAATCTACACAAGGAGTTCCTTAAGAGTACTTAACCGCCTGAAAGAGAATTGTCTATACAGGTCCACGATGTCGTATACCCCCCATATAACGGTACCCCCCGATATTCGGTATTTTGATGATTTTAGCCACATTTTTCAACGGAATTGTCTGAAAATCTACACAAGGAGTTCCTTAAGAGTACTTAACCGCCTGAAAGAGAATTGTCTATACAGGTCCACGATGTCGTATAGCCCCCATATAACGGTACCCCCCGATATTCGGTATTTTGAAATGGCTAAACATTTTCCAACGGAATTGTCTGAAAATCCACACAAGGAGTTCCTTAAGAGTACTTAACCCCCTGAAAGAGAATTGTCTATACAGGTCCACGATGTCGTATAGCCCCCATATAACGGTACCCCCCGATATTCGGTATTTTGATGATTTTAGCCACATTTTTGAACGGAACTGTCTGAAATCCACGCAAGGAGTTCCTTAAGAGTACTTAACCCCCTGAAAGAGAATTGTCTATATAGGTCCACGATATCGTATAGCCCCCATATAACGGTACCCCCGATATTCGGTATTTTGATGATTTTAGCCACATTTTGTAATGGAATTGTCTGAAATTCCACACAAGGAGTCCCTTCTGAGTGCTTTATCCCCTGAAACGGAATTGTCTATATAGGTCCACAATATCGTACAACCCCCATATAACGGTACTCCCCTATATTCGGTATTTTGATGATTTTAGCCACTTTTTCCAATGGAATTATCTGAAAATCCACACAAGGTGTTCCTTGTGAGTACTTTACACCCAGACATAGATTTGTCTTTATAGGTCCACAATATCGTATATATATATATATCGGCACCTTCCTATATTAGAAACTTTAAAGATTTTAAAAGAATTTTTAATGGATTTTATTTTTTGAAAATTTTCTAATTCGTTCCAAATGGCGGCCGAACTTACTGCTTTTTTATTTGTTATATTTATTTGAAGTTCGAAATAGATACTACAGCCTCTGACAGAAAATTGTCTGTGCAGGTCCACGTCTTCATGTAGCTTCCATATTTTGATGATTTTAGGGAAAAAATTATTTTGATGATTTTAGCGACATTATTCACAGGAATTGTTTCAAATTTGGCACTTGAAGTAATGGTTACTACAGCCTATGAAAAAAAATTGTCTGTGCAGGTCCACGTCTTCGTATAGCCTCCGTGTAATGGTACCTCCCAATATTCGCTATTTTTATGATTTTAGCGACATTATTTACCGGAATTGTTACAAATTTGGTATTTGAAGTTCGTAATGGATACTACAGCCTAAGACAGAAAATTTCCTATGCAGGTCCACGTATTCTTATAGCCCCAATATAACGGTACCTCCCTATAGTTAGTATTTTGATGATTTTAGCTACAGTATTCACCGATTTATTTTTAAGTTTTGCATTTGAATATTGTAATGGCTTATGACAAAAGTTACCTATGCAGGTCCATGTCGTCGTATAGACCCTAATATAACAGCTACATTCGGTATTTTTAAGATTTTAACAGATTTTTTGGCGAATGCTATTTTTTTATGAAAATTTCCAAATTTGTTCCATATGGTGGAGGGTATTCATTGTTCGACTTGGCCAAACATACAGCTTTTTTACTTGTGATTATTATTATTATTATTATTATTATTATTATTATTATTATTATTATTATTATTATTATTATTATTATTATTATTATTATTATTATTATATTATTATTATTATTATATTATTATTATTATTATTATTATTATTATTATTATTATTATTATTATTATTATTATTATTATTATTATTATTATTATTATTATTATTATTATATTATTATTATTATTATTATTATTATTATTATTATTATTATTATTATTATTATTATTATTATTATTATTATTATTATTATTATTATTATTATTATTATTATTATATTATTATTATTATTATTATTATTATTATTATTATTATTATTATTATTATTATTATTATTATTATTATTATTATTATTATTATATTATTATTATTATTATTATTATTATTATTATTATTATTATTATTATTATTATTATTATTATTATTATTATTATTATTATTATTATTATTATTATTATTATTATTATTATTATTATTATTATTATTATTATTATTATTATTATTATTATTATTATTATTATTATTTTTATTATTATTATTACACATTTCGTATTGGAAGATGTTAATTGATACTACAACCTATGACAAAATATTTATGCAGATCCACGGCTTCGTATAGCCCCCTATTTAACGATATCTCACAATATTCTGTATTATTAAGATTTATGATAATGAATACTGCAACCTATGACAGAAAATTGTATATGTATGTCCACGTCTTCGTATACCCCACATATAATGGTACCTCTCTTTTTCGGTATTTTGATTATATTAGCGACATTTTTTAACGGAATTGCTTTAAAGTTCGTATTTGAAGGTCCTTATGGGTACGACTGCCTATAAAAAAAATTGCGTATGCATGTCCCCGTCTTTGTATAGCCCCCATGTTTCGAAATTTTCTAAATATTTTGCATTATTGCAGTATAAAGTCATGTAATCATATGTTTACAATTTTTTCAAATTAATTCATATGACAACATCTCATTGTCAAATTTTATATTCATAAATCCATTGTATACATACAAAATCAGCCTATATAAGGTCGGCCAGGAAGCGAATTGGTAAAATATACACCTCTTTCCATGGTAGAAATACCAGGTAGCAACATAGGCGAAAATTACAACAAAGCAACTTTTTTGGAAACTTGATATGTCAAAGTTGTAGTCAGGGCGAATTGATTTGAAGTACAAAATTTTGGGCAAATTATTTTTCCAATCAAAATATTGAATTGAAAATTTTCAAAATTGTTGTTTTTCTATTACAAAAGCAAATAATCAAAACTTCCAACATCGATTGAAAGTAATGCTGAAGCCGCTGCATCTTGGTTTGATTATAGCACGTTCAATACAACATTTTTGAAAATCACAGAGACTGGAAATGGAGTGATCGTAGTCTCCAGCGCGCCAACGAAGGATATTTGCGATAATAGATGTCCAATCGTTGTTATATCTTCATCATGCTTACACAGCCTGCAGTCTTGGTAACGTTGGCAACGTTGATTTCATATTCAACAGCGATAATGTTCTTTACTTGCCTTGCTTTAAAATTTGATTTTGTGGTGGTTCTGGGGTGTACCCTTTTTTCTTTTGCTACATCGTCAGCTTTCTCGCTGTAGTGACATGCTACCTAAAAGGTACTTTAGGGTATATTTACTCATCAGGCTTACTTAAGATTTGGATCAAAGATTGCAGAAGATACAGGGGGCTGAGTCTACTGTGAGTCCACGCATATTATTTGCTCAGCTATGAAATGTATAGCAGACAGTCTTTTATGTATAGATAACTTTAATACATTCAAACAATTTGAAATAAAATAATTATCTCAATATTTAATCACACCCCAAAAATTGCCAATGTTTTGTTCCCCAAACCAATCCAATATGCTTTGGAATCATTCACCTTTCACTGTTGAAGACCTGTAGTGTATAACATAGTTGAAAATCCGTACAAATAAGATGATGAAATTCCATGTATCGGTTTATTTCCTATATGAAATTGATTCCCTGTTTCACTTATTTCAAATATCCACGAATTTTAGATCTCCATATTACCTATGCCTACCATATGTTGAATATATACTTTTTCCCTCATACTCTATAAAAACGTAAAATCTCGATTTTCTATCAATAGCATTGTTAAAGTTTGAAATCATGCAACAATTTTCTTATGTGTAAATAAAGGCGAATTCAAATTACAACAATTTTTTGACATATCAAATTGATACCAGCTGGCCTGAAAGGGTTACCTTGTAATTCTACCATGCCTCTTTCTGTTAATTTCAATGTTAATATTTTGTTTTTTTTTTTCTAGGCGGAAAAATTAGTTTCGCCCTAACATCTAATAATCACGGCAAATTCGTTAATTGCCAACAAAGAAAAACAAAACCAAAAGGAAAATACCATGATATGATTGTTGGGATGCACAGAGTTTGAATAAAATTGGATGATCTGTTTTTGTTGTTTTAGGTAAATTATTTTATTTGAAATTGTTAACATTTTTTGAGGTAGGTAGGATTGGACCAATACTGCGCATCTACGAACTCGATCTAAGTTTTCTAAGCCAAATCGGAGGCTCCCTTCGAGAGTTATCGTGTGCATAAAATGGATGGAAAGCCATGTCCAAAATCGATAGATGTAGTCGGTATCATGAAGGGAGTAGACCGATACATTTCATTCGAACACCAGATCCAATATTTGTAAAAATATAGCGAAGGAGGAAGTTACATTATGTTATGAGAATTACAATCTTTATTTATAAATTTGAATATTATGGAAAGGTACAAGAGTGAAATCACCGACATTGTTTTCAATCCAGAACTAAGCCTTATCCAATTATTTAGATGAGTTAAATTTCACTCAAATTATCTTATCTTGTGTTCATACAGATATTAAAAACCGTCAGCATATTCTAGGATTCGCTTAAGTTCAACGATATAAAAAAACTAATAAAGGCATTGGCGGATGACACTTAAACCCGGCCCCAATGCCTTTTATCTGGTAATATTTGAGCATTTTGATAATTGTTTGACCAATATCCTTTTTCGTCAATATTTTCCAGTGGAAGTTCCATTTGTGGTATAGCTATAGGCAGCAGTCTAAATTTCTCGCAAATTTCACCACATGAGCTACGTCGAAGTGTTCAGAGCTCGCAGAAGATGTTGTTTTACATTCTACCTGGCAAACGTTATTCTATTCTGCCCTCGACACTTCATCCTGTGGAACCGAAAAAAATGTACCCCTTCCTGGAACCTCCTTCTTTCTGCATATTTGGGAAATTGGAAAACTTGAAATAAACTGAATAATGTAGCTAAGATCATCAAAATATCGAATATCGGAAGGTGTCGGAGATATACGAAGACGTGGACCTGCATAGACAATCTCCTGTCATAGGCCTTAGCATCCCTTACAAATATCAAATTTGAAACAATTCCGGTGAATAATGTCGCTAAAATCAACAAAGTTCAGAATATCGGGAGGTACCGTTTTATGGGAGCTATACGAATAACTATACCTGCACAGAAAATGTTCTGTCTTAGGCTGTAGTATTCATTTCGAACTTCAAAAATCAAATTTGAAATAATTCCGGTGAGTAATGTCCCTAAAATCATCAAAATACCGATTATCGGGAGGTACCGCAATATGGGGGCTATACGACGACGTGAACCTGCACAGATAATTTTTTGTCTTAGGCTATAGTATCCATTTCGAATTTCAAATACCAAATTTGAAACAATTCCGGTGTCCTTAATATCATCAATACGAAGTCTATACGAAGGTCCACGTCCAGGTCCATGGTCCATTTTCAATGCCAAAAGTCCTGCAAACATTATATACATTTGAGTAAAATTTTATCAATCTACTTCAATTCAATGGGAAGCTAGAGTGATTTCCACAGACGGACGGACATCGGTAAATCGACATAGAATTTTATGCTGATCAAGAATATATATACTTTGTGGGGTCTAAAATGTATATTTCGAGGTGTTACAAACGGAATGACAAACTTAATATACCCTCCATACTATTGCTTTTTATTGAATGACAAGGTCTAGTTCTTTGGAAAAGGATTGTCATTGTTTAATTTAGCAAATGAGACTACCACTATTGTTTTGAAATGGGTAAAATAAAACATCTTATGAGAATAAAAGGAGTCTACTTCCCTTTTAACATATTCCACTTACCACTCTAATGTACCGCACACTGCTTGTTTACACATGTACACTCATTTTCCGTTTGCTTCTTGTTTTGCTCCACCAACCACTTTTAAGAGACTCTATTCAAAAAAACTACTCAAGTAATCTATAAATATCTAACCGTTATTGGACAGTGAATGTAGTATCCACCAACGTAGTATACAACTCTGGATGTTATGTTTTAGGGGTTAAAAACCGTTTGTGGTTACTTTAATGGTGGCAGCAGCAACCAAAGCACAACGGCGATGAGGACATAAGAGAATAGTACCGTTAAAAGTCACATTGCTTTACACTCTCCAGTTCAGTCACACTCTACTAGTCGGGCGCAGCAAGAGCTTGCGAGCATAATATTAAAAATCGTAACGTTCATACAGTGATAAACCCTCCTGCAAGGGGGTTAGTTGGAAAAAAAAAGAAACACAGCTGAAACGCATCGGCCGCCGGAGGACAAAAATAACTGTGTTAGCAAAGAAAAATCAATAAAAAGTATAAAATATTTATATAAAACACATTTTTCTTGATACAAAACAGAGTGCGTTTTTAGTAGTATTTCATAAAAGTAAATAATATTAAAGAGAATATGAGTGGGCTTAATTAAATAATAAGAAAGAAACAAAAAGAAAAAAATACCAATATAAAAAAGAAAATTTATTATTATTACCGTTGAAAGAGTAAAAGCAAAAAAAAAAAAAAAAAGAAGAAAAAATCCTGCAAAATATATGTACGTTAGTGAACATATCCACACATACACATGTACCCCCTGCGTACATGTGCAGTTTATGTTGTCATATTGTATGTGTGTATATGTGTGTGGGGAGTGTAACACCCCAAAAAACAAAATGTGTTTGACATACCTATCCTATCTAATGTAACAAGTTAATTCCCCACATATACCAATACCTAGGCATATTAAAATATTTGTTTATTTCATCTCTTCCGTTTCTGTGTTGTTTCTTTTTCTCCTTTTCCAAACAAAAATCTAACGAATGCAGCAAAAAGCAAAAAATTGAAATTTGTTGATTAAATAACAATCATTCATTCGGAGTTCACGATTGGCATTGTTTTCGATTACATTGAGCCATTAACCAGTGTTTAGTAGTGTTAACTAACTAATCGTTAATCGTGTAGTGTTGTCATAAAATACAACCCTGTGCGAAATCAATGACATCCTTTTTATTGTTCGTTCATTCGTTCGTTTCCTTTCCGTCTCTTCGACGCAACTACACTAGCTAAAACAACAAACCATTTCCTCTGAGAGCAACGCAACAACGGCTCAGCTCAACGAGTGATGGCGAAGAATTAACAGTTTACATTCTTCACGGCTGTTTCTGCTCTGGCTAGCTGGCTGGCTGGCTGACTGGTGCTGCTGCTGCTGCTGTTGATTATTGAGTCTACATTCACACCCCTAATCAGAGCGAAAAGTGGAAGTGAATGGAATACCCGAATGAACCAGGACACACACACACGCACTACTAATACACAATACACCAGCAGGAAGAAAACTTTTCTCTGAACCGTAAATATATCGTCTCCAATAAGATTCCAATTTAACCCAAAAACAAAAAGAAAATAAATACAAATACATTCCATTTGGCAAATTCGCCACCAATCCCATTGGATTTGGTTAGGGCGAGGGGGGCAATTGCTCCAGTGTTTTAATGCTAATCAGTTGTAATGTAATTGTATTTTGCCACAAATTTACTTTTCTGTTGTTCTTTTGTAGCTCTGTGTGTTGTTTTTGTGCAAACAAACCTACACACTCACTCAAACACGCACGCACGCACGCACGTACGTACACACACTCGTTTAACGAAGTTTATTTTTCTTGGTTCTTTTTGTATTCTTGTATTCCTTTTGTTGTTTTGCCTTGAAATTTTGATAGTTAAAATATATAAATATGTATGTATTCGTGTTACAGTTGTATACTGGCTGGTTGGCTTGCTGGCTGACTGACTGACTAGCTGGTTGGTTGGTTGTTTGCCTCGTATTTCGTCACTCTGGTGTGCTGGATAAGCCCTGAACCGTTGTTATCATCATCAGGCTGTTGAACTAGTTACGGCAACAAGGGTAAACGATCGATTGCAGGCCAGGCAAGCTCACTGAGGGGTTCTAAACCATGATTGATCCCAGCTCCAGCGAGGATGAGGGTGATGATGATTCAACTGTCCCAATACAGCCACCGGCTAAGGGCCGCTTGGCTGCTGGTACATTACCCACCAAACCAAAAGTTGTTGCAGCAGCCGCTGAGACCAGCAAACCAGCTGTGGGTGCGGCTAGACAAAACGGCGACATACCCCACAAGGCCTCCGACAGTCTAGACAAATCTCCAGGACCTACATCGCTGGCAGCAACTAGTGTGGCTAGCAAAAATGAGCTAACTGCCAACGATTCTTCCGGTGCTGCTGGCGGTGCCAGCGGCGGTGGTGGTGGTGGTGCTGCCGGCAGTATATCCCAGGAAACTCTAAATCAAAGTGCCGGATCTTCATCGCGCGGTAACTCTCTGCCACGACCAATATCACCTTCCCCATCAGTGGCCAGTGATAAATATGAATCGGGCGGTCAGCAAAAGCCAGGTATTGAGGAAGAGGAGCGCAAGAAACGCATACAGCTCTATGTATTCGTTTCGCGTTGCATAGCATATCCATTTAATGCTAAACAACCCACAGACATGACAAAGCGACAGCCCAAAGTCACGAAACAGCAATTGGACTCCATAACGCAAAGATTTCAGGCATTCCTCAAGGGCGAAACCCAAATCATGGCCGACGAGGCCTTTCGCAATGCAGTACAAAGCTATCACGACGTTTTCTTGAAATCGGATCGCGTCTTGAAAATGGTCCAACAGGGTTCGTGTTCGATACAGGACTTTACCGAAGTCTTTCGCAAGAATATCGAGAAACGCGTGCGTTCATTGCCCGAAATTGATGGACTGAGCAAAGACACCGTTCTGACATCGTGGATGGCAAAATTCGACGTTATCCTAAAGGGCACCGGGGAGGAGGATTCCAAGAAACCGGCTCGGTTGCAACAGTCCCTCAATTCCGAATTAATTCTTTCGAAGGAGCAACTGTACGACATGTTTCAACAGATTCTGAGCATTCGCAAGTTCGAACATCAAATTCTGTTCAATGCCTTAATGTTGGATTCGGCCGACGAGCAGGCGGCCGCAATACGGCGTGAGTTGGACGGCCGCATGCAAAGGGTAAATGAAATGGAAAAGAACCGCAAGCTGATGCCAAAGTTTGTTCTCAAGGAAATGGAGTCTCTCTACATCGAGGAGCTGAAATCCTCCATCAATCTGTTGATGGCCAATTTGGAATCTCTGCCAGTTACCAAGGGCAACATGGACAGTAAATATGGCTTGCAAAAGCTGAAACGCTACAATCACAGCACGCCTTCTTTTTTGAAAATGATTTTGCGTTCTCATGGCTCTCTCTCCAAACTGGAGGGAGACTCAGAGGAAGGCATTACGCAGCTTTCAAAACTGGATGTAGTCTTAAGTTTCCAACTGGAAGTGATAGTAATGGAGGTGAAGGGCCTCAAGTCATTGGCGCCCAACCGAATCGTTTACTGTACCATGGAAGTGGAGAACGGCGAGAAATTGCAAACGGACCAAGCCGAGGCCTCGAAGCCCATGTGGGACACACAGGGCGACTTTACAACGACACATCCATTGCCCGTAGTCAAGGTTAAACTGTATACTGAGAACCCTGGTATGCTAGCTTTAGAGGACAAAGAGCTGGGTAAGGTGACAATAAAACCCACGGCCTTGTCGTCGAAAACTCCTGAGTGGCATCGTATGGTGGTGCCGAAGAATCTGCCGGATCAGGATTTGCGCATTAAGATAGCCTGTCGCTTGGAGAAGCCACCGAATATGAAGCACTGCGGCCACTTGTATGCTATTGGCAAATCTGTATGGAAGAAATGGAAGAAACGTTATTTTGTATTAGTACAAGTCTCCCAGTACACCTTTGCCATGTGCAGTTACAAAGAGAAGAAGTCCGAACCGTCAGAGATGATGCAGCTAGACGGCTATACGGTCGATTACATTGAAGGAGCTAGTGCAAGCCTTATGTTCGGCACCGATCTGAATGGTGGCCGCTTTTTCTTTAACGCTGTGCGAGAGGGTGATAGTATTGCCTTTGCCTGTGATGACGAAAACGAATGTAGCCTCTGGGTAATGGCAATGTATCGCGCCACTGGCCAATCACACAAACCGACACCGCCAGTTACTCAGGACAAGAACTCGGCCATATCGAAAATTCAGGGTGATGCCGACAAGGCACGCAAACACGGCATGGAGGATTACATCAGCGCCGATCCATGTTCCCTCGATCACGCTGTTTTCTTTAAGCTGTTGCAGAATCTCGCTTTAGAATATCGCCTTAATGATCAATACGCTTCCTTAGGTTGGTTCAGCCCCGGCCAGGTGTTTGTGCTGGACGAGTACTGCGCCCGCTACGGGGTGCGGGGCTGTTATCGGCATTTGTGTTACCTCTCCGACTTGTTGGATCGCGCCGAGAAGGATTTCATGATCGATCCAACGCTAATCCATTACTCATTTGCCTTCTGCGCCAGTCACGTCCACGGCAATCGGCCCGACGGCGTGGGCAGCATAACACACGAAGAGAAAGAGAAATTCACCGAAATCAAGGAGCGGCTGCGCGTCCTGCTCGAATATCAAATTACCAATTTCCGTTTTTGTTTTCCATTCGGCCGACCGGAGGGTGCCCTCAAGGCCACACTCTCCCTGCTGGAACGTGTTCTTATGAAAGACATCGTCACGCCTGTGCCCCCCGAAGAGGTGCGACAAATGATCAAAAAGAGCTTAGAATCTGCGGCCTTGGTTAATTATACACGCTTGTCATCGGAAGCTAAAATCGAAGAAGACTTACGTGGCGAAGTGTCGGTACCGGCAGCGAAGAAGCTAGAGGATTTAATCCACTTGGCGGAATTATGCGTCGACTTGCAACAGCAGAACGAGGAACACTATGCGGAAGCATTTGCTTGGTTCAGTGATCTGCTGGTTGAACATGCTGAAATATTCTGGTCACTCTTCGCTGTCGATATGGACCGCGTCCTATCTGAGCAACCACCGGACACCTGGGATTCTTTTCCGTTATTCCAAATTCTCAACGACTATTTACGGGCGGACGACAATCTGCGAAGCGGTCGCTTCCATCAGCATCTGCGCGTCACCTTTGCTCCGCTGGTCGTACGATATGTCGACCTGATGGAGTCCTCGATCGCTCAGTCCATCAACAAAGGCTTCGAAAAGGAGCGCTGGGAAAGTAAGGGCAACGGCTGTGCCACCTCCGAAGATCTCTTCTGGAAACTCGATGCCTTACAATCGTTTATACGTGATCTGCACTGGCCCGAGCAGGAGTTCCGCCAACATTTGGAACAGCGTCTGAAAATGATGGCCGCCGAAATGATTGAACAGTGTATAGCCCGCACCGATGCCTCCTTCCAATCGTGGCTAAAAAAGAACATTGTCTTCGTGTCCTCAACCGACTACATTGTGCCGACGGAAATGTGCGCCATGGTAAATGTGATATTAAACGCTAAAAATCAAAGCTTCAAACTGACCACCATCGACGGAATTGACTTGTACAAATTTCACGCTAAAATTGACGATCAGCTCGATAAAGCGAATGTAGCCATGACACAAGGCCTGAGTGGCAAACTTATGTCAGTGCTAGAGTCGACTTTGTCCAAATTGGCACGCTACGACGAGGGTAGCCTAATTGGTTCGATATTGAGTTTCACGAACGTCTCGAGTTCGGGCAAAGATCTCGGCCAGAGCTATGTAATATTCTTCCGCAACAACATGGAACAGATACGCGGCAAAATTGGCGACGACTTGTGGACATTGAATTTCTTCGAACAATGGTACACGCAGCAAATTAATATGCTTTGTAATTGGCTTTCTGAGCGTTTGGATCACTCACTCCACTATGCTCAGGTGCAGGCGTTATCGCATATCGTGAAAAAGATCTATTCGGATTTCGAGTTACAGGGTATGCTAGAGGAAAAGCTGAATTCGAAAGCATATCAAACTGTTGCCCAACGTATGGCTACCGAAGAAGCGACTTGTGCTCTAACCATGCCCGATGTGGCCGAAGGTGAAGAGGGTGTCGAGGATGGTAGAGCCCTCGACGGCGCCGAAGGCGAGGACGGTGTCGTCGAGGAACCAGGGCCACGCGTTAGAATGCCTCAGCCAAAAGACGTTACGGCTCAGGCGGCGGCTGTTACCAACGTGGTGGCCGGTCGCGTCGGTAATCTCCTCGGTAAAGGCATCGGCGGCTTAAGCTCAAAACTTGGTACTGGCGGTTGGTTCTAAACGAACCAATAGCGCACCGATCTCATTGGCAAAAGGTGGTAATTGTTTTAGTACTCCCCTTCTGTTTGAGGCTGTTGCTGCTGCTGGTGATGGTGATTAGAGTTCGAATAACGATGGTGGTAATAGAGATGATACAGGCAGATGATGGATGGATAGATAGATGTATGGTATGACCCCAACCCCACCCCGACAAAACACCAAAGAAAAAAAAAACAAAAAATGCGTTTGGCTAATATATTTTAGACAACAAGATCAGTTACACAATATATAAATGCAGCCACACCCACACAGACATACACACACACATACACCACCTCTTTCTCTCTGTTTACTTTTCCAAATGTAACCACAATAAAAACAACAAAAACAACAACAACAAGAAATATATAGGCACATTTATGGAACAATATATTAACGAATAGATACCAAAAGAAAATTTAAATTTTAAATTATATCTACAAAATTACATATTGCATAATGAATTATATAAAGTAATAACAACAACAACAAAAACAAATAAAAAATATTATAAATTATTATTATTAATAATATAATTAACATTATAATTATTATTATTATGATTATTGAATTAATTAATAATTATTACATATATCTTTAATTACTACTATATTATAAACAAAACCAAAAAAAAAAAAAAACAACAACAAATTGATACCAAAAACAACAACAAAAATATTAACATGTATTGCATTTTGGTGGCAGATGTAGCAGTAGAAATAATTAATTTTTACTAGGCAAATTACTTACTTACTTCGAAACAAAACCAAATACGTCAAAATATTCTATATATATATACAAAAATTAATTAATAAACAAATTATATTTAAATTAAATAATTAATAATAACGACAAAAACAACAACAACAACTAAACAAGAATTATACCAAAGATTAAATAACAAAATGCTTATTCCAATACCGAAAGAAAGAAATAAAATAAAAAAACATAAGAAATAAATAAATGAAACAAAAATATATAAAATATAACACCACAAATTAATAAAAAAAAACACAATCTCTCTCTCCATTATTTGTTTCACTTCAATTTGGCCCAGATCTATGCAGCAAATTAAATTGATCTCCTCTTAAGACAGTTCAATTTAACCGAAACCGAAGTAAAAATGCTTTCCAAAATCTACAAAACATACATACATACATAGCTTCTCACACACACACAAAATGAATGCCCTTCCTCCTACAGAGTTTGTTTGCTAAACCAAAAAACAAAATGCATCTTTAAAATCTAAGCAGTTATCAAATATTAAGCAATATGTTGTTGAAAAATATATTTATCTACTATTTACTCCTTTTTCTTGTTTATAAGTAAATGAAACCAATTACAAATAATAATAATAACAACAATAAAAGAATTAATTTAAGTTCGAAAAAAACTTTATTATGATAATCGAAAGTAAACTCAGATCAATTCATTCATTTTTAGTTGAGGCTAAATACGAATCTGCGGCAATTGCCTACAAAAGTCGTTGCACTATTTGGAAGAATTGGCCGCGATTGCCAACAAAAGTCTTTTCACTGCTTTCCCTTTTTCTAGTAAATTCAAGGAAGCTATTTGGAAGTCTTGTATACCCTTTATCAAGATATTAAGTTCAGTCATTTACTTTCCCATTAACATTTACTTAATAAGCAGTTACTGAGAAACAAAACGAATTCTTCTCTCTCTCTCTCTCTCTCGATCGAGAAAGAGAGAAAATAGCAAAAAGTAAACAAACATCATCGACATTTGTAAGATAACGGTTGTAAATCAAAACAACTTTGGCGCACATCTTAACAGCAGAAATATTTTGAAGCAGTTTATTTGTTTTTGGTAAAATCATGGTAAAATAAGGAAGCAGAACAGCTTCGTAAAACTACAGAAATACAGACCTGAAGCTATGCCCGTTTCCTGTCGGTCTCATTCAAAATTATATTCAATAAGTTTTTTATATTTTTCTTCATTTTTAAAATTAGTTAAATAGCGCGAAAAATGAATGAAATGCCTGGATTTTCTCTCAAAAATATGGTCCAAACTGTTCAATCTTCCAATTTCATGGCGAAACTGATTAGTAGCTTTAAAAGCGCAAGCCGCAATCTACGTGTCTTCCAATCATTGGGTTTGAAAATATTTTATTTTCTTTTTTCAAAACAATAAATACACACAAAAAATTGGCAGATGTCGGGCACACTTAGAAAAAAAATGTAATCAGCTGGCAGCTCTACCTTACCTTTTTATTGTACCATGGGCGCAAGTACATAAAGAGCTTTTTTCGACTAAAGGTACGAATATATAAAAGGCTTTTTTGACTGGCTTAAGTCATTGGCTGGCTTCTTCGGAAAAGAACAAAAGAGCGTAGGACCAAACTCGAACTAATCCAATCTAAAACACCTTTGTTCCTCTGTGAAGAAGCCAGCCGATGTCTAAAGGTGAGAATTCATAAAAGGATTTTTTGATTGGCTTAAGTCATCAGCTGGCTTCTTCGTAGAGAAATAAAGGAGTTTTAGGTTGACTTAGTTCAATTTTGGAACGTAATCTACACTTGTTCGCCCCATGTTCCTTTATTCTTCTACAAAGAACCAAGCCGGTCGAAAAAAGCCTTTAATGTACTCTCACCTATAGATCCACTGGGTTAGTCTTGCGCATGTATATACGCCCTTATATACGCCCATTTGGAACAAATTTGGAAATTTAAAAAAAATAAAATCCGATAAAAATTCTGTTAAAATCTTAAAAATACCGATTGTAGCCGTTATATTATATACGACGTGGAAATTCATAGGCATTGTTTGTTATAAGCCAGTACTATGTTCAAAATCGAAACTCAAATTCGAAATAAACGGCGAATAATGTAGCTAAAATCAACAAAATTCCGTATATGGGGAGGTACCGTTATATCGGAGCTATATGAAGACCTGGATCTGCATAGACAATTTTCTGTCACAGTCTGAGTGAAAATTTACATTTTAGAATTTCATTACAAAAAAAAAAAAAAAAATAAAATAAATAAAAAAAACGAACTTTCAAAATCAAAAAAAAATTAAATGCCCTTAAAAGTTCTTTTAAAATCTGAAAAATACCCAATGTAGCCGTTATATTAGGGTTTATACCACGTCGTGGCAACTTTTGCCATAAGCCCTTACAATACAAGGTGAGATAAAAAAACTGAAACAAAGTCAAATTCCATAATTTTTACATTTTTTTTAATTTTATTGAATGAAAGCAACAAATGTCGGAAATAGCATCAAAGTTTAGAATAAGTTTAGATTTGTTCGAATTGGTCACCTTTGGAACGAATTATGGCCTTCAAACGGCCAATGAAACCGTCACACGCTCCCCGAATGTTGCTCTACGGTATTTTGGCCCCTTCCCGGCGAAGCGCTTGATTGAGGTGATCGACACTTCGGTATTTTTTAGTGCCAACCTTGCTTTTCAAAATACTCCACACACAATACTCCAATGGATTGGTATCCGGCGATTTAAGTGGCCATTGTGCGCTGGAAACCTCATTGTGTAACCATTCTTGGGTGGCGCGGGCTTAGCGCGATGTTGCTGAGTCCTGTTGGAATGTCCAAAGTCTGCGGCCGGAATGTTTGCGTGCACAAGGCTTTAATACACCCTCCAGAACATTTTCGCGTTATTCGTTATTTATTCTGATGAAATGGTCGATTAATACGAGCGGAGGGCGACCATCGGCTGTTATGGCGGGCCACACCATCACCATGGCCGGCGATTGAGTTCTGATGGCCAACCGAAGGTGCACATTTTCAGCTGACCTCTTTTGTATGTAAACACGATCATTTTGTTTTGTTGTTGCTTACAAACGGCTGGAAGAATATTTTCTCATCGGAGAAAACCAAATGCGGCAGATCACCACTTTCGGACAAGCGAACCAACTCTTTAGCTCTTTTGAGTCTATTTTCTTTTTGTTGCGGTGTAAGTTCTTGTACTTTTTGGAATTTCAATGGATTTACCCCGAGCTCATTTTTCAATAATTGACGAATGGAAAATTGCGATATGTTCAGCTCGCGAGCCATTTTTCGGCCACTGCGACGGGGGTTTCCGTCAAGTCGCTCCTTTATTTACCATTTTTGCTGATGTTCCGTCCACTTCCTTGACGTCGGGCTACGCTACCACTATCACGGTCACGAGCGATTGTACGAGACACAAAAGATTTATTCACATTTAAATGTTGGAGTGCTCCAACGATAGCCACTTGTGGTTTTCCAGCCAAATGTAAAGAAAACACACTATCACGCTCGAATTCCATCACGAATAACATTTTTCTGGAAAATTTTCACCAAAATGCTTTTGTACGCTTGTAAACAATATAATGAGCTGTCATTGGAATAACTTTAACAGCTGCCGGACGTGCGGCTTAGTAATGATAGTAGTCTGAAGTTGGCTGCAGTGTTTTCATCTCACCCTGAGACTCACCCAATGTGAGACTTGAATTCGGTGAATAATGTCGCTAAAATCATCAAAATACTGAGTGTCAGGAGGCACCGTTGATACGAAGACGTAGACCTGCACAGACAATTTTCTGTCATATGCAGTAGTATCCATTACGAACTTCAAGTACCAAATTTAAAACAATTCCGGTGAATAATGTCGCTAAAATTAACAAAGTACAGAATATCGGAAGGTACCGTTATATGTGGGCTATACAAAGACGTGGACCTGCATGAACAATTTTCTGTCATAATCTGCAGTATCCTTTACGAACTTCATGTACCAAATTTAAAACAATTTCGGTGAATAATGTCTCTAAAGTTATAAAAATACCGAATATCGGGATGTACCGTTATATGGGGGCTATACGAAGATGTGGACCTGCACAGACAATTTTCTGACATAGGCTGTAGTATCCATTACGAACTTCAAATACCAAATTTGAAACAATTCCGGTGAATAATGTCGCTAATCATCAAAGTTCGGAATATCGGAAGGTACCGTTATATTGGGGCTATACAAAAACGTGGACCTACATGGCTCATTTTCTATATCAAAAGTTCTGCAGGCATAATAAACATTTGAGTAAAATTGTATCAATCTATTTCAATTCGTTAGGAAGCTAAAGTTATTTCCACAGACGGACAGGGGACGGACATCGCTAAATCTACATAGAATTTTATGCAGATTAAGAATATATATACTTTGTGGGGTCTAAATTGTATATTTCTATATTTCGAGGTGTTACAAACGAGTGACAAACTTAATATACCCTCCATACAATGGTGGAGGATACAAACAACGAGAATAGCGACAATGAGAATTTGACAACAATAGCTCTGTTCCTTTATGTGCAAGACTTTGTAACTGCCCAAAATAGCACACAATTCAAAAGAGAGCTGTATTAATACTTTAATATTAGGTTTGGTTGGATACAGCGGGAACTGTAAATCAGTTTGATTATGAAAGAGTAAGGTACTTTTATTAAGTGATTGCAAGAAGAAATTTAAAATTTGTAAACTCTCAGTAAAGTAACTGTCAAAATTTATGTCTGGAACCACTCTCTTATGCAAATCTTTTGTGTTAACAACGACTTCCAGTAACAATTTGCAACAATTGTTACAAATTTTAGGATAACCAGATGCACCAAATGTTTACAATTTTGAAAAATAAACGAGCAATGCAAATTTAAAGCTTTTCCACCATTAAGAAACTATGTAACATTAGCCTGAGCGTTGCCATTGTTTTTTTAGCCTTAATAAAACGTATTACCATTTGCATACTTTTAGGCCTTTGGCAAAAAATAAATAAATAAAAAAATGGCGGATGCCTACTATAATATAATTAGACTTTTTATACCCTCCACCATAGTATGGAGGGTATATTAAGTTTGACTTTCCATTTGTAACACCTCGAAATATACATTTTAGACCCCAAAAAGTATATACTCTTGATCAGCATAAAATTCTATGTCGATTTAGCGATGTCCGTCTTTGGAAACACTCTAGCTTCCGAACGAAATGAAGTAGGTTGATACAATTTTACTCAAATATATATTATTTCTGCAGGACTTTTGCTATTGAAAATGGGTCATGTAGGTCCATATAATGGTACCTCCCTTTTTCGGTATTTTGATGATTTTAGCGACATTATTCATCAAAATTGTTTCAAATTTCGTTTTTGA